TCATATCCCTCCAGACCTCCAGAAAAACTTCAGGCAGCATCATCAGCTGTTCTCCAACTTTATGTTTGGGGCAGCACCCGTCCTTTGAGCCCATATTTCGTCCCCGTCTTCCTCCGCTGCAGCCAGGGTCAGGGTCACCCGCTGGAGTAGCCTTCTCAGTCAGAGTTGAGGGATAACCCTCGTCACAGAGCCATCCGTCAAGCGGAGGTAAGAGGCAGTGAGTGACAAATCTTCTCTTTCCTCAGTGGAGGGAGGAAGGAAGGAATGAGATGAACAGAGGAGTAAGAGAGGAGGGAGACAAGAAAGAGAGGAGAACAGAGGAGAGCCCCGGTGGATTTCTATAGGCAGGTCAGCACAATAGGGGTGTGTGTGTGTGTGCGCACACACACAAGAACCAGTGCAGTGAATACGTGAGCATGCAAAACTTTGACAATCATGTCTGTGTTACAAGTATGGCAACACTGAAATCGATGTGTTCAAACATCTCCATCCCAAAACAGCAAAAAACACAAACACTCTGATATTCAACAGACAGCAGCACTGCCGTCTTAATCCCAGTTTGTGAATGCATCAGTCTAATTGAATTCACATCATTGAAGTATATAAACAGATACAGTCGAAAACAAAGGACTGCAGTTCACCATAATTACATTCAATTTGCATAACACCACAGAACTGCATGAACAAAAGAGCTAATAGGTGTTCCAAGTTTGTCTCTACTGACACGGCAGATACAAAATCTTTTGCATAACTTTCAAGTGTTCAAGCACTCTCTGATCCCTGCATTTTACAGGGCCATTCAAGAATCGACGCTGGCAAGCGCTTGAGAAACCTAAAAGAGAATTTATTAAAAGAAATAGGCTGCTTAAAAATAGAACACATCCTGTGGGAGGGCGAGGCAAACCGGAGAAGGGACAGAGGCAGACTGAGCGGAGTGTGGCGCACAGCTGGTCAAGTTTTCACACACAGAAGATGTAAATTCATAAGATGTTAAGCAAACCTTTTGATTATCGGACGGAGGGTGGTCTGGTGGAAGAGTTTTCACAAGTGTGCGACTGAGTGACCGGCACAGAGAGTGACAGTGATTGAGAGAGAGGTAGAGACAGAAAAAAGGAGGAGACAGCAAGAGGATAAAAGAGATTGATTCAGCGTCAGTGGCAGACACATTCATTCTCCACAATTTACAAGACAACACGGGCATCCAGCTCATGACTTGTATTCTCAAATATCAAGTGGGCACCCTCGCCTACCCAACCCCATCCAAATCTACAAATGTTAGCAAAACACGACAATGCCCTCCGTATAGATGCCCGCTATGACAAACAGAACATGATGAAATCTTCTCTAAAGTGCACTTCGAGTGGAGGAAACATTATGGAGTGGAGAGAATGTGATTACGTGTGGTTTGTTGTGCACTTTCAGTGAAGTAAACATGATAATGTGTTTCCTAAAGGCTGATGTTACAAGCTTTAAATTGTAACATTAGGCAGTGGTTATTTTGAAAGGGAATATGTGAGGAGCAGCCACTCAGCATCTTTATCAAACTATTCTGTATGTTTCACTAATAACTGAGCGCATGCCTTTGCTGATCTTTAGATATTCCATTTCAAAATAGCATACAAGGCTAACCGTAGCCTACATTTTCAACTTTATTTTATAATAATATGACTTTTGTTCTTGTAATTTTCCAACTATATTCTGGTAATGTAACAAATCTAGTAAATATGTCAGCATGAAGAGAGACAGTGTGTGGAAGCCTTTCTCATTGCCTTTGAGTACAAACAAAAGGAAATGCGCCATATTGAAATGGGCAGAATAACTTTAGGTAAGTCCCGCCTCTGACAAGATAAATAGCCAATCTTAGTTTAGGATATTGGGGCGACCAATCATAATTCAAAGGGGGGGCAGCATGTCACCCCTTGCCAGTCCTCTGGACTGTCCCAGGAAACAGGAGCCGCTGAGGCGTTAAGGAAGCGATGAGGGATAAACACAAACTACATTCATCTTCAGGGGAGTAAACATTCAATCAGGCTGCTATCAAGATCTTTTTCAGTATAATCATTTATCTTTGATCTTGTTGAGACTGCATCTGGAATTATCATGAACGTCTGGGGCGCCGGTAGCGTAGTGGGAAGTGCGCACGCTCCTTGTACGGAGGCTATAGCCGCCTGGGTTTGAATCTGACCTGTGGCACCTTTCCCACATGTCATTCCCCAATTTCTCTCTCTCTCCCTGATTTCCAACACTATCCACACACCAATAAAGGCACAAAAAGACCAAAATAAATCTTTACAAGGAATAATCATGAATTTCTGTACAACTTTGACTTGTGTTAGTTTGTGACCAACTGCGGGAGGGGAAAAAAGCAACCTATAAACAGTTTATGTATATGTAAATGAGGTTTATATAAATACCATTTGCAGCGCACTTAACCAAGAAAAGAGAACCTCCATATAACACTATTGCCCAGATGCCGGAGACAAATCGTTTAGCAGCAGCAGTTGACACAAACAGCACCCTGAGGCATGGCTGGTGGACAACCCGGAGGCAAAACTCCCAGAGGCTCCTACGACAGAAACATGATCACCACATATTGCGCCAAAACATCGAGAGCTCTTCCAAAGCTGGCCCCTTTTCAGAGAGGCACACCCAACGATACCCTATCAGACCTGCAGCCTAATGAGCGTAAAGGTAACAGCACAAACTGATAATGACAAAAACACTCCGACACAAACGCTGATGCACAAAGAAAAAGGGAAGACAAGTCGTTGCATTTTGAAGCCACTTAGGTTCACACTTTCTATGAATAATCGGGGACTGGATTTATTTAAAAAGATGCTCTAACTGGGAGAGTTGAAAGACTTTTTTCTCCGCCTAAAGGTGAGGAAAACAGCGTGAACAGTTCTCAGTCCTCTAATGATAAAAATGATGCATAATTAATGAAACTGTGTGCATAAAATACACAACAAAGCAGTTTAGCAGGCAGCTTTGTTTGGGACAAATTGTGCCAATACACCTTTGAAACAGACAGCCATGTAACGGAAAAACAGAAAAAGCTAAACAACAGCTTTGTTTCCTCAATGGAAGGACTGCTACTAAAATATGATTCCCTGGAAAGATTCAAATTGATCGCTACGAAGCTGAAATTATAATCACTTTAACTGTGCCATTATAGATGGCCATGTTTGGCAGACCTTCATGGTCAGTTCCTCACTCCATGCTACAAAGTCAACACAAGTTAAAATAGTTTTTCAGTACTCACCTGAGGCAGCAGGTCATAATTAGCTCCAGCATTGAATTTCAAAGCAAGGACTATGTGCACGCGGTGGAAGCATCTGCATGTTGTTCTGTTTTCGTGTGTGTGCATGGCTCCACCACCAACAGCTAACTGGGCTGTAGCGGCTTAGCGCTGTATGCAGAGGAGGGAATAAACAGCATCCAGTGAAAATGTGGTGCGTGTATCAAAGAGTGAATCTCAGCTGACGGGGAGAAAGAGAAAAGAAAATCAAGGCAGAGAGAGCAAGTGAGAGGAGAGATAAAAGGAGAGGAAGTGACAGAATATATCGCCAAGTGTGTGTGCAGAGAGACTGGGTTTTGGTTTTCCTGATCAGTGCTGAGGAGGGAGAAATGCAATATTCAGCTGAGAACCTCCAATAATACCCCTGTGTGGTGGTGTGCTGCACCTGAAACAGAGCACAGTGACTCTCTGGCACCCCAGGGCCGCAGTCATTGTTCTGTTTCAGGTTAAAGATGATTTTAAGTGTTAATTACACTCACCCAACTTTTAACAGTTCCTCCTGAGGGGGGAAGTTTGTAAATGATTAACTTCATGGAGCAATGAACGAGTTTTTGCTCATAATTGTGCATCTTCTTTTAATTTCTAATCTTTTACATACTTTATCAATCCTTGAGAGAAATTCTGGTTTACACTCTGTAAACTCTCTCTCTAAGTTAAGTTGTGCAAAGACTGTGGCAGTTAATGCCATACGTGAATACTGCCGTTAGTCTTTTAACTTTTATCCCAAAATAAGCTTATTAGAATAAGTTATGGGAACATAATGATACGCCATTGTATTGAGATTTAATAAGTTTTTCTACGTTGTTTTGTTGTTTCTATTTGGAAAAGTTTGAAGGTCTTGCTTGGCCGTTATTGAGTTTTCCTTCCATAATCTATTTATTCTGCTAATTAATTGCGTTTTGAGATGTACTGATGTTGTATCACTACCTCTTAAAATGTAAACTAAGAAACACAGTAGCCCTTTTCAGACTGCCTTAACTAAGCTGAGCCGTCGTCACATCTTTGTACATTCATTTCATACTAATACTGCTACGGCGTTATATTAGTGACCCAGTCTTAGTAAGACTTGTGTAAATAGGTGTACTTCTCTCATCTTTTTTAATTTTCAAAATCCAAAACAAAAAAGTCATTGCTGGCGCACAGCACAGCAGGAGCTTCACATAGACAGTTAAACATGCACGGTACAGAGGGGGGGATCACTTTGTACTCCCATTACGCCTCTGCAATATTCATAATGAAGGCGAAACATCACAGGGTGTAAATATGGCAGCTTGAAACAGCCGTCTGAATAAAGCTCGTCTTTCACTAACCCAAGAAGTCTCTACAGTATTTGCCCATTAGACAGTGTTGTCCCTATATTTAAAATAAATCACAGTCTCTTTCCAAAAAAGCTTGAGGGACTTAAATGCATCTTTAAATTCTCAAACACATTTTTTTAGACTGCAGACGGCACTGCTGGCTAAAACATGAATGTACCGTACTGGATGCTCTCCAGGCAGTAATAGATACTGACAGCAGATGTAAAGCCCCTGCTGCAGCAGAACTGAGTTTCAGGGTGAAATCTCCCTCTGATTTAATTTGCAGAAATCTGCTTTAGTGCAGAAGAATGTTTGTACATGAGGAGAATTGTAAATCACACAAAGTCTAAACAAGAGGCACAAATGTACACAGACACGTTATGACGTACAATCTGATAGGCTACCTGACGCTGTCGATCAGCTGCTGATGCTCCTCTGTGATCAAGATGTCGGGCAGGGCCTCAGCCAGACTCTCGACATCCCTCTCAGCTGCGTATTGCTTCAGCACCTCAAACAGCTGTTCCTTCACATCTGGCTCCTCTCCGAGCACTTCCTCCACCTGACGGATAAACAAAGGCATGGGTTCATTTAGAAAACTGGAGATGAAAGAGCAAGCACATCCACTTACTTTAAGAAAACATGCATCACACCTACTTTCTTATTGAACTCCATGGCCTTGTGAGCACGACTCTCCCTGACACTGTCCCCGCTCTGTGACAACACCCTCATGCTGCTGCTCAGTCGCTTGGGCCGCCGAGCCATGCTGAGCACGCCCAGACGCAGAGGCCGACCCTGAGCCGCTTTGATCATGGCTGCCGCCGTTTCATGGTGCTTCACGGGGATGCCATTCACCTCCATGACGTAGTCCCGGACTTTGAGGCCGCTGCGACCAGCTGGACCGTTGGGCATGCAGTCCTCCACCATCAGAGGGCTGTCTCCAATGATGGTGAAGCCAAACCGGCCGTCAGGGCCAGGAGTGATGTCAATCTGAGGAGAGAAAACACGGTCGCCTCGTTGGTGTAGTTTTCACCACAGCAGTCTTCATTTAAGTTCTTGAATCCACAGCTTCTCTATTTGCTTTTTTCATTTGATTACTAATTTATTTGTTTTTGCTTTTTCCAGTGATAGCTTTTAATACCACATTTGCAGCGACTATATTTTGAATTTCCTCTTTTTATTCATGTTGTACGTGTCTTTGCTGCTTTTTATGAATGCAAAGTACCTACTAACGTTGATACTGAAAAACTTGTTGTAAAAATTACTGAATTCTCTCTGTTATTAGTCTAAAATTCTTGCTAATTTTTCTAAAATTAAAAAAAGATTATGATATATTTTTATGGATATTGCGGCACATTTTTGGATGCATGGAAACATTACCTAAAGCAAGCGTGGAGTAACTGGAGGTTTATCACCCGGTCCAAAACTAGATAGATTTCCAGGAAAAATGGCCGACTGTTAAGTGAATTTTTGTGGCTGCTGGTTGATCACCTCCTTTTTTGTATTTTTTCTAAGTATATTATGTCTAGGTTGGTAATGACAATAAGTCAAGCTGTTCTAGCCTGTTTATAAAACTGTCACCTGGGGTGGGGGGGTATTGTGTGTGTGTGTGTGTGATGGCTGACCTGTTCGAGCCGTGACACCACCCCGATGCTGGGTGGCACCGTCTTGAGGGTCTGAGCCAGAGCGATGAGTGCCGGTGTGCTGAGGTTGGTCACATCCTGGCCCTCGATGTCCACCACCTGGTCTCCGGGCTGCAGGCCAGCCAGGTAGGCACTACTGCCCTCCACCACGGATAGGATGTAGCTGGGCCCAGTGCCACCCAGTCGGAAGCCAAACGCCTCGGGCCAGTTCTGATTGGTGGCTGGAAGGCCGAGGTCTGGAGAAAGGACAGTATCAACTAGTCTCTGTTCATGTTGAAACATGTTCAAAGATCCTCATTAGAGTATATCCCAAACCATCCACTTAAATAAAAGATAATAAATAAAGCACAGCAGATATAAAACCCCTTTAAAATAAATCAAAACTTAAAACACTTCAGTCAGTAAACCACCTTAAAGATTCAGTTATAAAGAAAACACAAAAAGACACAGAAAGACAGAGACCACACCCCTCTCATCTTGATTTAAAAGCCAACAAATATAAAATTTGGTTTTAGGATGTGATTTAAAAGTTGTAAAGGTGGGGTAGATTTGTATGTTGGGAGGTAGCTCGTTTTATCATTTGGGGGCCCCTGTTGAAAAGGTACAGTCACTTCTGGTTTTTCAGCCTAGCTTTAGGGATGACAAGAAACAGCAGACAATCACCTCAAGGGGGTGTAGACGTGCAGAAAGTCAGATATGCACTGAGTTGCTAACCCTTTTTAAGATTTAAAAACAAGCAATAAGATCTTTAAATGAATCCTAAAAACAAACAAAGTTAAAGAGTATGGAGGCCAGGATTGTACTAATGTTTAGTAAGTGTTAAAAGACAAGTGCCATATTGGACTGTAAGTGACGCCTGAGTAGTACAAACAGGCGGAGATGAAGGTGTGAATCCCTCACACTGAATATTCTTTAAATGCTCGGTCTCAGTCAGAACGCTGTCTCTGATAGGCTTTTAATAGTTTTTAATAGTGCTGAAATGTTTCACTGCTTGTATGATATTTATGTCATGTGAGTGTATCATAATGTTTGTATCTAGTGCAAGCTGTTCAGACAAGCCAGCAGGTTGTGAGCTGTAAAAATGAAGGTCAAATGTTCTACTGGTTTAAATAGGGCATCTCAGCGGTGTAGCTGTAAGCAGCAGGTACACTGGTCTATTTAATGAAGCGACAGATAAAAAGACACTGAAGTCGTGCAACAAAGCATTTTTAGATTGGTAGTTTGGTCATCTGTAAATTGAGTGAGAGTAAAAGGAAGTGAAGCAGGTTATTTCTGACTGTCAGTATCTAGCCCACATGTTGAACTGATGGCCTTCCCCTGGTCACTGGCCTCATTCTCCTGCAGGAAGTGTCCCGGCAGGCTCACTTCATATCCTTTCATCTACAGCCAGGGATGTATGTGGGACATTATGGGGATCTTTCAGCTCACATTATGATGTTTTCTGTTGAAAGTGTCTCACAAAACATCCTCAAAACACATTTTATTGTGGACTACAAAAACTGAAGGAACCTCAAAACTTGTGCTTTCTGGTTCATTTGTTATACAAATTCTCACTCTGTACTTTCACCTTGCTGTTGCAATGATGCTTAAAACAAAAGGACTGAAGAAGAACCTTCACTGAATCTGCAAATAGGATAAAACATGTTTTACATCAGTACAAGGTTGCATTGCCACTCTCCGTGTCTTGCATGACTAAATAAGTCCAAAGAGGAAAATTAGAAAGAAACTCAAGAACTTGAGGTTGGGAAATACAACCGAGCACACTTACATAATAAAAATCATAAAGCTGCAAAGTACAAAAACAATTGCACACAGTCATCCATCAAATCTGCTGCAGCAAACTGCTCAGGTTTCTTTTTTTTTATACATGATCAGAGGCGCAGAAAGATGGAGACAGAGGGAGCTTAAGACAGAAGACTTAATTAGAGACAGGAAGCAGGAAGAGTAACAAAGACATGCAAAAGAAGTGAGAAAATACGGCTGTGCAAGACTCTGCAGAGCAGCGTAGAAATGTCAGATCTGCTTTGATGGGGGGGGGAGAAAAATCACATCTTACTGGAGCACAGGGTGATGTGTTCAAAGTGAAATGCGGCTGAGTGAATAAAACATTTCTTCAAATTCAAAGAGCCACAGAAGTTGTTGTCAGCTCGCTGAGAGGAAAAATCAAACTGCAGCTGATTATTGATCTCAAATAGATTGGGAAATCACTGACATGAGGCTGTGGATCACAATCTTTTCTCCTAACACAGAACACAAGCAACTCAAAATTTATGTCAAAACTTCTCTGTCCACTTTTTTGCAGCCTGCGACCAAGATATACAACCTCAGCTTTATATCTAGTCTTTATTCCACCTCCTGCAGATAAATAATTTCATGGACATCATGTAACAAAATTAGGATTCAGAGAAATACTTACAGAAATCTTTGGAGGCACTCCGGGTCCCAGACTTACTCTGGCGCAGGGAGAAGCGGCCCTTTCTGCTCAGGAAACGCCTCATCCTTGCCCGGCTTGCGGCAGGGCACGTTCCGGCCAGCCTCCCTTCGCCCCCGGCCTGGAGGTCGACGCAGCTGAAGGGTGCCCTCAGACACCCTCGAGCCGCTCCTCACCTGAGCTCACTGCCTCCAAAAGCCTCCACCCAGCTGGCCAAATCAAGTGTTCCTATAAGGTCACATCTGTAGGTTATCAGGTTCAATGCCTCCCTTTGTTCTCAATCAGAGAACCAGCAGTCTGCAGCTCAGGTGAGGGAGCCTGGCGGAGAGCAGAGAGGGTCTTGAAGTCAGGCTCTCCATCCTGGGTGAGGCAGACCAGCCTCAGCCTCAGTCCAAAGCCTAAAGCTGAGCGACAATCAGAAAACTGGGACACGCTCTTCTGAAATGGTTCTTTGCAAGAAAAGGTACAGCGAAGCCCCATTTTTCTATAAATACCTTACCCGCTCTCTCTCTCTCCCTCTCTCTCTCTCTCCCACCCTCGCTCTCTGTTGCTCATGTGGATGGGGCCCCCTCAGAGGGCTGAGGACTGACCCAGAAACTGTGCAGCGTACCAGCCAGGGACATTTCTCTGATTATAGCGGCTGTGTTAACCCGAGTACTGGAGCACCAGTTACAGCGATGTAGCCTGAAGATACGCTCAAGGTTACACACCAAATACAACACTAAAAGCATGGCAATGAAAGTACTAACACAAGTTAAGCAGAATGCCTCAAAGCACAATCCTCATGGTGCCTACATGTGCCCCAGAGGGAGGTGAAACAGTAAATGTGTGTTTTTACCTGGCAGGTGTGAGTGGGTTCACAGCAGGTGGTCGCCCATGAGGAGACGGTAGCTGACATTCATTCGACAGACACACACACATCTAAAAAAGAAGCAAAATAAGACTGCTTCACAGAATGATGAAAATAACAGCATATAAGACCTACAGACACAGGTCAAAAAATAGGCTTATATTTAGTTGCTCTAAGTTAAGGTCGGCAAAACTTGACCATGAACCAGAACAATAAAAAGATGAAACAGCTCACATCATGTCTTTCTGTGAACGTGAGAAAAAAAACACATTAATCCTAAATATACACGCTTTAAAAAAATTTGTTTGCAAGATAGAAACATGACGTCACTTCAGGGAGGACTCCAACAAATGTTACAGTCTTCACTGCTGTTTTGTGTCACCATCAACATCATTTTTGAAAACAAATGTAAACACAAAAAAATCACAAGTTTCTAATAAGTGCAATAAATTAGCAAATACTGACAGGACAAAAAAAAGAAGGGATGAAAAAAGATAGATATAGTCAAGTGTATAAGAAAATAGCATTTATTTGTTGCAAAGGCTACTTAAAGGAACTGAACACAATTTGATGTTTGGTGTAAAGATGTTTGACCAGCTCAGAGGAGCAGCTGGGTACCAAAACGCTCTCCCTGACTGGTAAAAAAAACAAAAAAAAACTCTGCAAGCACACGCGCAATCAGCCGATCTTCTAAAGGCATCACATTGTCACAGCGCAGGTGAAGAGCTTTTTAACTTGACTGCAGCTGACGCAGACAGAAGAGAGCTGAAGTAACATCTTAGGTGGTTAAAGAAGGAGTTTCACTTTTTGATGCAGATCAAAGGCGTAGACATGTCCAGTTTGTATCATCTAATAGAAGATGAATACGTTCCGGCATTTAAATGAAATCTGTACAAAATAAATCAAGTTAGTTTTTTTTTAGGCTGTTGAAAAAGGTGAAAGTCAAATCATTAGCTTATGTAATTTGGCCGCGTCCGTTTGAGTACATCCACCAGCGAGAAATAAAAACATGATAGAACTATGTAGTCCTCATGCATTCATTCTTAATGTGTCCCACAGACGTAGACTCTATGAACACTTTGGCCTTTTGATTTGCAGTCTTGTCTCACACATGACGCTCATACACACTCTTCAAATAATCCGGTACAAAGTCTCGACTGTCCAGTGAGGTTCCCCCTCCATCATACAACAACAGTCTGAATCTCCACCTCCTCTGGAGACGTGATGACATATTCCTCTTGCTGCTGCACCACTTGTATTCCCTGATCTACTGCGTCCTCTGTGGTAACCACGGTAACCGTTGTGTCTGCCGTCTCGATGCCGCCCCCCGCCGTGGCCAGCAGCGAGCCGTTGCTGATGGCGGAGGCCAGCGTCATGGCAACCTGCTCCGTCAGGCTCTCGGGTGTGGCGATGGTGATGGTGTCGCCACAGTCGGAGATGGTGGGGCCCTCCTCGTCCGTCCCCACGTTGCGCACGATGATCTGGGGGCTGCCTGTGCCTTGGGACTGGCTAACGATTCGCTGCACCACTTTCATGATGTGATTTCCCATCTGGCAGAGAGAGGGTTGATGCAAAAAGGTTATTAGTGACTGAAAATACACTTAAGAGCTATGGTCACTTTTTGTGTTTGAGAGGTTCAAATGTTTACTAGATTAATAAAATGTACACCTATACAGTTAATGTTCCATTTTTTAGATATTCATCAAGACAATATGTCAAAATAATGTGCTGGTTCCATATTCGTAATGTAAGGATTTACTACTTATTTTCTATCATTTGAAAATGCACATACTGTACATTATTTTGGGGTTTAAGACTATTACCTTAACAAGAAAGAAATAAGAAGAAATCCCTTTGGGCTCTGGGACTTAAAAAGAGAATTGTTCTCTTTCTTTGACATTTTTGACAATATCATCAGTGGATAAATCATGAAACGTTTGTTGGATAAATGGTCATGAAATGAGGAGTTGCATCCACATTTAGATTTATAAAGATTCTCACACTCTGCCGGGGGGATTCTGATTTTCTCATCTTTGTGGATTTTTAAATACTGACCTCATTCTGTCCGTCTTGAATGAGTGTCACCTCTTCTTCCTGCACTTCCTCTTCAGTTTGAGTCTAGAGCACAAAGAGATGAAAAAGAAGACGTTAGTATATATACACATTTTAATAAATTCTTAACCACCAACTAGTATGAAAAACCTTTGAAAAAGGACAAAATAAGTCAATATGGCCGCAAACGAGTCATGCAACAACCTTTCTCCTTCATGAAGACATTATGAATTCAAGCTGTTGGAGGATACATTTCTTTGTTTCAGATGTGTAATGAAAAGACTCCAACATACGTCACTCAGTTTAAACTGAAAAGAAATGACCGTCCTACATTCAGTAAACTTTGTAACAATCAATAAACTAATCCCCAGTGTTCCCTCGACCATGGACATGAAACAAACACATAATCAGATGGACTGAATCATTTATCTTCACAGGCAGAGCTGTTTTCTAACTTAGGAAACAAAAAGTGTTTAATGGTATACCTTCATAAAAACTATTGTTGTGAAGTGTTTTTATCATTGTGCAAAAATAAAAAATGACTGAAATGTAACTATGTGCATTAATCTTAGTATAAATAAATATTGTAGTCTTTCTGTCCAGGTCCACAGATGCTTAAATATATCTTTATAAAAACAGGAATAATCTCGGTATTTTGTCTGGGGCTTTAAATTGTGTGTTGCTTGATATTATTTCTTCACAATTTCAATTTCAACATGTTTTGTAATCATAAGCTCTGCAGTATTATTTTTGAACAATGCAAATGATTTACTTTTCAGCTTTTACTTAAAAATGAGAAATGTGCCTTTAAATGTGTAGTTAAAATGCTATTTTCAGTTCATTCTGTTTGGTGTAACTCATCTTCATAGACAAGTTTAATCCTTGCTTCAGTCAAAACAGGTTTTCCTTTATAACGGTCCTGAAATGTTGGAAAGTGCTGAGCCATTGATAACAATCAGGAAATCAATCAATTTCTCACAAATGTTAGAAGAATGATCTCAAAACTAACTTCACATGAATGACCCTGAAAGCAACACTAAGTTGTTATGTGAGGTAGTAGCCCTGCTTCCTCGACGCTCACCTTGATGATGTACTCCTGTGTGTCTGCCACCACTGAGGAAAACTCCACCAGGACGGCATGAGGATCCTCCGAGATGATGGCTGCTGTAGCGAGGCTGTCCACTGACGCCTGCTCTTCTGTTACTGCATCCTGCTGCTCGCTGGCATCGTCCTTGTGGCAGCCTCCTGGTGGAAAAACACAAAGGTGTGCCATTATTAGCTTCAAAAAACCTGTTTCCTTTAACGTTTCTTTTTTTGACCGTCGATCACACTCACCTTTAGCACGCATATGCCGATTAAGAGTCCCATGCTCAGCAAAGCCTCTTTTGCATTTTGGACACTTGAAAGGCTTCTCCCCCGTGTGATGGCGGATGTGTCGCACCAGAGATCCTTTCTCCCTGAAGCCTCTCATGCAGAACTGACACACATAAGGTTTCTCATCCCCGTGGGTCCGCTGATGCACCTGCAAGGCATTCTGAGCAGGACAAAAAGATATGTTAAAGAGTGCCTTTCATGTTCCTGAAGGATGAATAACAAAATACTACATGAAATAAAACTTGAGAGTACAAAGTATAAGATTTACCTTGGTCTTGTATCCCTTGCTGCATCTGGAGCACTGGTAGGGTCTTTCATCCGAGTGGGCCCTCATGTGCTCACGTACATGCCCAATGGTTTTGTACAGCTTGCCACACTCGCCACACTTGTACCTCCTCTCACTGACATGCACCTCCATGTGTTTCTTCAGCAGGTAACCAGTCAGGAACTCCTTGTGGCATAATGTGCACTTAAAAGGCTTGTAACCTGCAGAAACAGAGAGGTCACAAATATATCTGTAGCTGTAGTTTTTTTAAAGGGGTCAGACCCAGCAGCTGCTTTCTTTTGGTTACATATTTTGAGAAGGCAAGGAGTGAGATTCATTATAAAAGGTTTTTAATTACCTAAATGGCCCTTAACATGAAAGCGAAAGTAATTCAGTCCCTTGAAGGAGCGGTTACAGTGAGGACACTGGTACAGTTTTGAGATTGTCTGAATACTGTCATCTTCTTCTTCTTCCTGCAAATGTAAAAACAGACAAGTAAAACATGTGAAAATAGTCAGTGCATCACCAGACACAGACCCAGGCTCTCTACTATTGGACACAAAACATACATCTGCAATCAAGAGAGAGATCATATGTCTATCAAAAACAACAGGAAAAACATTACTGAATCGGAAAGCTGTTGTGGAACCAATGTTGGTCGTGTTTTTAAAGAACTGCTCAATCTCAATTACTGCTATCCTTACTTCTGCTTCCATCTCCACAAACTCCTCCTTCACATGGATCTCATCGATGCCTTCCTCAACATCAGGACAGTCAGAATCCTCTTCATGCATCTCCTCAGTAGCCTGTTGGGGTTCTTCGATCACGGCTTCCTCTGTCCCCAGTGCAATGCCAGAGTTGATGATGGCCTGGCAGATGAGGTTGTCTCCTGCTGCTGCTGCAGCTG